TTTTTTTTTCTTGGTCTCGCTCTCATCACCTGAAGAAAAATTTGCGTGATTTACCAATACTTAGGCCAGTGATCAAGCGCAAGTTAAATTGACATGTCACCTTTAGACATACATTGTAATATCTTAGTGAATCCAAACCGAGTAAACAAAACAAAAAAATAAACAAACCTTTGACTATAATTGATATAAGTTATAGGTATAATCAGGAAAATAATATGACATAATATATAATTGGATGTAATGTAATATGATATATTATGAGGTATAATATAAGGCAATATGATATATATTGTAATATAGTATGATGTATGGTATAATGGTTATAGGAATAATAGCACATGAAAGTGCATCGTCTTTCGTTACTGGATTTGTTATATGGATTATTTCTTTATTCATTTTTTATTCATTTATTAATTTGTTGCTGTTATTATTATAATAATTGTTATATTTATTATAATTGTTATCATTATAATAATAGTGATAGTAATAATAACGACAATAATGATAATAATGATAATAATAATAAAAAATAATAATAATAATGATAATAACAATAATAATTGTTACTATTATTATTATTATTATTATAATTATTATTAATATTATCATTACCATCATTGTTAATATATTATCATAAATATTATTAACATTATTATCAATATCATCATTATCATTATTATTGATATTATCATCATTATTATCATATTATTATCATTATTATATCGTCATCATCATCATCATATCTGGTTATTATTATTATTATTATCATTATTATCATTATTATTAGAAAACAAGATTGGTATAGGTAACATTTGATGAATGAAAAGGGAAAGGAAATAATGGATAATTTGAAAATGTATCACCGTAATGCCAACACAAGTGTCAACACAAGTTTTTGTGGATATTCTACTATTACTGTCGTTGTTGATGTTATCGTTGCTGTTACCATTATTATTATTATCATTATTATTATTATTATTATTATTATTATTATTATTATTATTATTATTATTATTATTATTATTATTATTATTATTATTGTTATTATTATTATTAATTATTATTATTATTATTATTATTATTATTATTATTATTATTATTATTATTATTATTATTATTATTATTATTATTATTATTATTATTATTATTATTATCATCATCATCATCATCACCATCATCATTACTACTACTTCTTCTACTACTACTACTACTACTATTACTATTTTACTGTTGTCATCATCATTATTATTATCATTATTATTGCCATCATTAATATTACCATAATCATGACGGTAATGATGTTAACACTGGATAATCGTAATTATTATCGCTACTATATTATTATCATTATTCTAGACTCTTCGTATGTTGTTGTTGTTGATGCCATTAATATTGAAGGTGAAATGATAATGATGTTGATAAAGATGGCAATGATAATGGTACTACTACTTCTACTACTTCTAATACCACCGCTATTACTACTACTACAAGAGATGATAATGATAATGATGATAATGATAATAATAAGTGAGATAATGATGATGCTTATGATAATAACAATGATGACGATAATGGTGATAATGATACTACTCCTACTAAAAGTAATGATGATGATGATAATGATGATATTAATGATAATAACATGAATAAAATTGATCACGATAATAACTAAGTCATTAATAGTAATAATGATAATAATGATGAGGATAATAATAATAATGATAAGGATGATGACGATGGTAATGGTAACAATATTAAGAATAAGAATGAAAATAAGAATAATGTTAAATAATGATGAAAATAATAAGTCAGGATAATATTAAAAAATGATTATAATAATGATTATCGCAATTGTGATAATAATAATGATGATAAAGATAATAATAATAATAATAATGACAATAATAATAATAATAATAATAATAATAATAATAATAATGATAATGATAATAATAATAGTAATAATAATAATAATGATAATAATAATAATAATAATAATAACAATTGACAGTGGTGATAATATTAATAATAATAATAATGAGGATGATAATGATAATGATATCAATTATGACAATAATAATGATTATGATGACGATGGTGATGAAGATAATGATAATAGTCGCCATTGTTGTTATTATTTTTATAAGTATTTCATATTTTCAACATTAATATTATCATCATCATTGTCATCATCGTCATCATTTTTGTTATCATTATTACTATTATTAGTAGTATTAATATCATTACTATCATCTATTTACATTTATTATCATAATTATTGTCATCATCATCATCATCACCACCATCATTATTATCATTTATATTATTATTATTATATCTATTACCATCATCATCATCATTCCTCCTCATCATCATTATCATCATCATAACTATCACCACAGTCATCATAATCATCATTCTTATTATCATTAGAATTGTTATCATCTTTACTGCTATAACATCTATTACTATTGCCACCACTGCTACAATCATTATCATC